CTGGGGACACTCAGGCAGTGTGGGATCTTGGGAGGCACGCTGCCCCAGGAACGTCCCTGAAGGGTGGGCGCATGTGCTGCGGCTCAGCAGGAGCTGGCAGAGCGAAGAGGGGTGAGAGGGCTCTCCTGGTGGAGGGCATAGCCTGGGTCCAGGCCCAGAGGGGAGAGGAAGCAGAGATCTGAGAGATGGGAGGCATCAGAGTGATGGCCAGGGACAGTTTGAAACCTCGAATACAAGGAACTTAGACTTTGTCCAGAGGAAGCAAGAAGCACGAGGGACCATCCGGGGTAGAGCAGGGGTCTGAACCAGGAGCAAAGCGTGTGAGAGGTTCCGGAGGGTACGAGGGGAAAGCGTGTCCCTCCCCGGCCCCCAGCGCGATCCCAGGCACAACTAGCGTCTGTGAGGTTCGCTGCGTGCCGAGTGCTGAGCCACATCCCTGCAGACCTGTTAGGGCCATACTGACATGATCCTCGATTAACAGATGGGGGAACCAAGGTCCAGTAATCAGCCCCAGCCCGCCCCCCACTCCCTGTCCCATCTGCAGCATCTCTCCCTCCCCGCCCACCCTCCTCCCCAGGTGTGAGTCCTCCTCTGAGGACTCCAGCACAGCAGAGAACTTCTCGGACAATGAGAGCACAGAGAACGAGACCCCGGAGCCTGAGGCGAGGGTGCCTCGTGTGGCTGAGGCTGCCCCGCTCCGGCCCACAGGGACAGCCGTGGCCAAGATCAACCAGGAGGAGTGCCAGCCAACTCGGGAGTCTCAGCGAGTGCCCACAGCCGAGGGGGCCTCGGGATCAAATGTGGAGGAGATCCGGTCAGTTTTCTGGGTGGGAGGCAGGGCCCGGGTTGTGTGTGGGGTGACCTCCAATTCCACCATCCAAGCCCTTTGAGTGAATATCCCATCAGTCATGCACACCCTAGTCTAAACGAGCAGAGAAGCCCTTTTCTCCCTCTGGGCGTCTTGAAGATCTGGAGGCTTTGAGGAAGGGCCTGATGGGGCAGTTTGGCTGTTGGGTTAGGATTTAGGGGGCAGGTAAAGTCCTTAAGCTACCCACCTTTTTGGGACATTATGCCCCACTTGTCCATCCTGTTTATCTTGTTTTATTCCTTGATGAAAAATCTGACATTAGGAAAAGATTTTCCATCTGCCACTGACCATTTGGAGAAAACTAGCCTGTGTGTCCACTTTCTCTTGGAGTCTGTGTGTTCTCCATGTATGCCCTGTGGGGTATCATATAAAAACTTGTTCCTGGTGAAGGGGGCATCTGAGGGTCTACCAGTCAGGTGAGCCCTGGCAGGATTGGTGAGTGCCGTGGTGGAGAGCATTGGGGCTCAGTCTGAGCGCCCCAGCCAAACTTGGAAAATGAGGGAAACCCAGGAGCTGGAATAAACCTCCTCTCCCTCCCCCTCTCACTCCCCCTCTCCCTCCCCCTTTCCCTCGCAGGATGGAGCTAAGCCCCGACCTCATCTCAGCCTGCCTGGCCCTGGAAAAGTACCTGGACAACCCTAACGCCCTCTCTGAGCGGGAGCTGGTACGCGGGGTCCTGGGACTAGAGGGCTCTCCTGTGCCCCCTGGCTTCTCGTCTGCGGGGCCTCCCTGTGCCAGCCTCGGGAGAGTGTGCTTGAGTCATGGGGCTTAGAGAGGGGCAGGGAGGTGGGGAGGGGCCCGAGGTTGATCTCCCGCTGGCAAAGCCGGCCTTGGTTCCTGGTCCTTCGGAAGCTTGAGGGGAGGGGCTGGCATATCTCCCTCCACTGGTTCCACACATGCCTTGATACCCCGATGGAGATGCTCACAACTTCCTGGCAGCAGACCTGGGATTGCAGTGTCTCTACTTCCCTCTAGGGTCCTTGTCCAGGAGGGGAGACAACACTCCTCCAGGGGCTCGTCTGGGTGGGGTGCCCATGCTCCCCTCCAGGCTCCAGTTCAGGACAGGGACATCCACACTCTCCTCGGGGCTTAGCCCTGGGGAAGGTGGGCTGCCGCCCGCCCTCACCCCCTCTCCTCTCCGCTGCAGAAAGTGGCCTACACCACGGTGCTGCAGGAGTGGCTGCGCCTGGCCTGCCGCAGCGACGCCCACCCGGAGCTCGTGCGGCGCCACCTGGTCACGTTCCGGGCCATGTCGTCGCGGCTGCTGGACTACGTGGTCAACATTGCCGACAGCAACGGCAACACCGCGCTGCACTACTCCGTGTCCCACGCCAACTTTCCGGTTGTGCGGCAGCTGCTGGACAGCGGTAAGCCTGGCCAGCTGTCACCCGGTTTGGTGGTCTGGTTGGGGAGACGTGGCCCCCCTAGTCTAGTGGGGGAGACACTGCCCTCCCACTGTTGGGAAGGGGGGGATGCAGGCCTGCCTGTCGCCTCAGTGTTCTGGAAAGGGCAGCCATGGTCTTCGGGAAAACAACTGCCCGCCCCCATCCACACGGACCCCTGTGTAATGGAGATCACACCTCTGGAACCCTCGTCTGAGGGACGGAGTAGCTTTCAGTTGGGGCTTGGAGAGAAGA